TTAAGGTTGGAAAAACCTGTACAGACTCATAGTCTTTTCTATCTTTTAAACTCTCTGGGCACCATAGTGATGTTCTGCCTATACTTCATTTAGATACTTTAGAAATTTTCTTTCTGAGAGGGTCTGAGAGAAAATTAATTCACTTTTTTCAGAGACCGTCTCTGAAGCAAGAGTTTCAGTACTTAGATGATCACCTGAAGTTCAAAGAGATGAATCAAAGATGTGCTTGGAAGAACTTTTCACTAAGTTCCAATTACATACTGTTTTTAGGGGGTACTTAAAGTTCATTAATGCATTGTTTCATTCCTCTACTAATAATATCTGTAACCAGTGGATGTACCTCCTTCACCTTTCCAGGAGGGAAACTTTTCAAAAGTGTTAAGAACGTGCATGTGAAAAAGGGGAAGAAGGAGAGTAGGGCAAAGTCCTTCTGAGCTGAGCACTTACATACTCTGTGTATGCACTTGAAATCTCCTATTTTCCTGCTGCATTGAGCAGGGCCTTTCTCTCTACTGTGCAGTCCTGTTACTGAACAGGTAGAGATGTATTTATTACACAAACAGGATAAATATATGGGGGTGGGAGGAGGAGGAAATAATCAGAAAGTACAAATCAGATGCAGCAAGTTTTTAATGATACTGAGAAAATAAGACATTTCCAGAGCCTCTAAGGAATATGAAACAAGTATACATTCATCAATGATCTTTCTGAGAAGTTGATATGGAAAAATAAGAGCTTAAACTGAACAATTTTGTTACATGTTTGCCCCCAGACATTTGGGAAATGTGAGGAGAGAAGCATTAGGTCAGAAACTGCAAGAATTTAAAAGGAGACAGTTAATGGGAGTTGAAGGGGGAGAGCTCCAAGGTCTTCATCCAGAGCAGTGGAAGCTCAGAGCTCTTCCGCTGCAAACCCATTACATCTTGCTTGCTGGTTCTTCCTTGTCCTGGGGCTGTTTCTGATGGATTTAGCAGGGCCCACAGCTGCCACGGCGGTACCTGTTGTACCGGTAGGAGTAAGGGCTGCAGTATCCAGCCCCATAGGATCTTCCGTATCCATACAGACCCCTGTAACCCAGCGAGGAGCCCCCATAGCCATAGAGACCCCCATAACCCAGGGAGCCTCCATAGCCATACAGGCCTCCATAGCCCAAGGAGGAGCCTCCATAACCATAGGGACCTCCATAGCCCAGGGAGTAGCCTCCATAGCCACCAACGACTGGAGCTCCAGAGGAGCCCACGACTGAATCCTGGGGGAAGGAGCTGAGGATGGGGCCGGGGAAGGTGACCACCACGGGGGGAGGCTGGATGACGGTGGTGGAGTCGGGGCACTGGCGGACACAGGGCTCATTGCAGCTGTCAGCCAGGGGCTGGGGGCGGGCGATGCCGCAGCTGGTGGTGGGACACAGGTCGTAGCAGGACATCTTGAGGGGGTGGAGGTAAGTCTGCAAGACATCATTTACATTAATACATTTTTTACATTAATAACAAAGAAATAATGTTAGGTTATGATTCTGAGCAGCCAAACAGATTATCAGTAACAAAGCCAGAATCTAAGTATATTGTCCATGATAATATTCTTTGCACTGGAAGCTAGAGCTCCTAAAATGGTCTAGTATCTCTCTGCAGCCTTAGAATTGGATTCAGAACTGCTCAGCGTATCCTCGCTATTTTCTTCTATATCCTGCCTTTATAAATGACCAGCCTTGAATGGGAAAACTAACACGATTTTTGGAGAAAAAACACGTTGAGGACCTGGCAGTACAGGGAGAGAAGCTAACCTTAAGTAAAAATCAACAGTTACTAACAAGAAGTTAACTTTTACAGATTTCAGAAGCAATTCCACTTACCCTATTCACCAAGGAGAGCAGGCTGAGAGAAGTGTATAGGAAGCCTGAGTGGAGTGAGCCTTTATATAGCTCCTAGATTGCCCAGGGGGTGTTAGGCATCCTATGCATGAGCTCATAATTAGGTCCCAGCCCCAAATTGTAGGACACACAGCTCCTCAAAGTGCTGAAATTGTTTTTGCATGTTACAGGTACTTCAAACCCACATGTAGCGTGACACGAGTTTTCTGCCACCGTGATTGCCATTATCTTCAGGCTTAGGACAAAGTAATTCTGCGTATGATTTCATTGCTTTATTTAGAATTATGGGAGGCACTTAGCTGACACCACTTCTTTAGGAGTCCCGGGTAATTAAGATGATGGGTAAACTGTCCTTTCTTTCGTCTTGGTGCAGGTCTTTCAGTTTAGTGAATCCAGGCAGCAGTATACCTGGAGACAAAATGAGTTTCCTCTTAAGAGTTCAAGTGACCTTTGAAGACTTCATTCTGTTGGTATACAACCCATTGTATCCCAGGATCTTTTAATACTTCAGGTAATGTTAGTACATTTCCATCTCTGGACCCATGTACACTTAAACAGAAGGAAGGTAAAGTTCATTCCTTTGACTTTTTTTCTTAAATAAAACTCCCCAAAGTGTTACAAACCATGAACTCATTATCGGAAAGACCAAAGTGACCTTGACGTATCTGAGTGAGATAGTCTTTCATAACAGTGGGTGTAAATATCTCTACATAATTTTTTATACAATTATGAAATGGCGTGTACACGCTATAATGAGTGGTTGTGAAGTGTTAGAAAATCTTTTTGAATGTGCTCAGAAATCACAGGGACAGCTTTATAGCTCGGGGAATCTAGTGCATCTCAAGGGTTGGAGAAGCTTATTTAGAAATAATAGATGATAAGAGGATAACTATGTTGATGATTTAACAAACAATGGTGCCATAAACAGAGAAAGAAACCTCAGCAAAGGCCAACCTTTGCTTTTCCTGATCATTTTCCAGCTCATATTTGCTCCTTACTGGGAGATGCCCTCAACCCTTGCTGGCTGCGACGTGCAGTTTCCCAAAGATCAGCCATAGAGCAGGATACTTGCAGACTTACCACAAGAAGAGCAGAGGGAAAACATAGAAAATGGGCAAACAGGATACCAATAAGTTTCACATTCCTGGATGAATTAATGTGATCTGAGTTTTCCACCCAAAACATTACAAATATAAATATCTTTCTCTTCAGAACCAAACTGAGCTTTAGGCTCTAGTCTGAGGGTTAAGAGAGACTTAAAGGATGTTTAGGACAACTGCTGCTATGTGTTAAGAGATACTCCCCCTCAAAAATTGATTCCAAGAGTCCTGAAAAGTCTCAGTGGACTCCTGTATGAGTCGTATCACATCTCAGGCAGAAATAACTAAGCAGAAAATATTACATGCCTTCTGAGGATTTAATGATAAAATGTAATTCCTCTTTAAGAGGGATGCCTGATCTAAGGGATTTGGAAAGAAACATCTCGCAGCAGGTTGTTTTTGATAAATGCCTGAGCATCATTATCATATAAGCCAGCAACAGAATAAGTAAATATGTATAAGCTGCTTAATATAGGGCGCAACTCTAAAGAGGATAGAAAACTGATGGTAATTTCATGAATCATGTTTTAAGATGAAAGATGCATTAATTTTGCCCATCAGTGTTTCAGATGAAAGAACTTAGTGATGTAACGAGCTTGTTATGCTACATGATAATTGGGATCAGGCAATAAACAGAAAGCAAAACAATTTCGACACTTTGTGGAGGTATCAATACAAAAAATGTGCAGTGTCAACTCATTAGCTTCACATTCACCAAACTGGCTCTCAGCCCCCAGGCAGTTGAGGGACTGTATAAAAGCTCTCTCCATCCAGAGTTCTTCCAAACTCTTTCTCCACTCATTCTTCTTGCTGAATTGGTGAGTGTGATGACACTTTCTTTTTTGACTACTAGAATCTCTCTTTGCTGTAAACTTCAGTCTAGGGTGATATTTCCATTTGGGATCGCGTGAGCACCAAACTGGCTCTCAGCCCCCAGGCAGTTGAGGGACTGTATAAAAGCTCTCTCCATCCAGAGTTCTTCCAAACTCTTTCTCCACTCATTCTTCTTGCTGAATTGGTGAGTGTGATGACACTTTCTTTTTTGACTACTAGAATCTCTCTTTGCTGTAAACTTCAGTCTAGGGTGATATTTCCATTTGGGATCGCGTAGTAGGAGAAAAGATGAATCTTTTGAAGATTACTAAAGGTGCTAGCTCTTCTCACATTTGAGATGGGTATTTCCTTTCAAAGCAAACTGGAAGTTCTTTTATAGGGTAGAGAAGTAATTTTGTTGTTTAGCCACCTTTAACAGCTAAGGAAATGTTATAGCTAATTCAATATGAATTTATTTTTTCCTTTTCACTAGGTAACTGGAAGAGAAAAAAAAAGTCCAGATCACTGGAGACTTTTATACACTAGAGACATATGGTTATGAATGCTAGCAGAGATAAGGCATTGAACTACATAGAATAGGATATAGGAAATGAGAGCTGTTGAGAACACACTGTGATAGATGGATTCAATGAAGAGAGGGGCATAGAGGGAATAAATGAGCTCACAGATGAGCTACTGAATTTTCTGTGTAAATGGGAGGGATCATTTGGAGTGAGAGGTTCCTCTTCTGAAAGAGCTCAGAGTGCAGGAAAAAAAGCTGTGCTGTGAAGCTAGTCCTAAATGTTTCTGTGTATTGGGTCAGTGTTTGGAAATTGGGTATAATAACCTCTGCAATTTTCTTGGAGCAACCTCATTAAACAAGTTAGTAAATCTGAATAGGGAATGGCTTATAATCCCTGTTCTCACAAGCCTCAGCACAAAAGGGATCAGTGGGAAGGAAGAGTCAGTGCCACAAAATTATGCATAACGACACACTCCATCCTTGGAGTCCCAGTCCTTGCTGAGATGGTGACTCATCAAGGGGTGTGAACAACCAATCTTACTGCTCTGCCACATTTTTCAGTTCTAAGGGCTATAACTAAATCGGTGTGCTTCAAAGTAGTCCTTTCTGAGGAAAGCCAGGGAACTATATGGCATGTTTAGGAATGTAAATAACACCTTGCTCTCTCTGTGATGCAGCTGACCTCCATCCCCTCAAGATGTCCTGCTACGACCTGTGTCCCACCACCAGCTGCGGCATCGCCCGCCCCCAGCCCCTGGCTGACAGCTGCAATGAGCCCTGCGTCCGCCAGTGCCCCGACTCCACCACCGTCATCCAGCCTCCCCCCGTGGTGGTCACCTTCCCCGGCCCCATCCTCAGCTCCTTCCCCCAGGATTCAGTCGTGGGCTCCTCTGGAGCTCCAGTCGTTGGTGGCTATGGAGGCTACTCCCTGGGCTACAGGAGTCCCTATGGCTATGGAGGCTCCTCCTTGGGCTATGGAGGCCTGTATGGCTATGGAGGCTCCCTGGGCTATGGGGGTCTCTATGGCTATGGGGGCTCCTCGCTGGGTTACAGGGGTCTGTATGGATACGGAAGATCCTATGGGGCTGGATACTGCAGCCCTTACTCCTACCGGTACAACAGGTACCGCCGTGGCAGCTGTGGGCCCTGCTAAATCCATCAGAAACAGCTCCTGAGTGAGGAAGAACCGGCAAAGAGGAGATGCAATCCTGATCCTCAGATCAACTCCTGAGTAAAAAGGCAGAACATCAAGAATCACCACTGGATACAGTGGAGTTGGAGATGTTCAAAAACTCTTTGCATTTTCATTTCTCTCTTAATTTCTCTTGCTGTCCCTCCATTTATGCTCCATCTCCTCCATGCACCTTGCAGCAGCCAACCCTGGAGCAGCACCATTGATGTCAGAGTGTATTCTCCCTGCAAGAGCCACTGCATGGGAGAAGCTTGAAGTATGGCCTTGGTGGAAGCCTGAGTTGACCTGCTGTCTGCTTTGTCCTTGTATGTTTATTTCCAGTCTACCCTTTCTCAACTTGCAATAAAATGAGTCTGCAGCCAAAGCTTGTCTCTCGTTTCCTAATGGTCCCTTGGAGGTCAAGATTTGCCCTCCATCATGTGTAGCAACAACTTGGAGGGTGCATCAGAATGAAGTAAAAATATGAAAGTCTCTTATCCTGCTTTAACAATTCTGTCCTGCACCAAAAATTCCTGCAGGGAGATGGTAGGGCTCATAACTGAAGATTCTCTGCCAGTTTTTCATCCCTATTGAGATGATATTTTCTCTTTAGATCTCTCCTACACTAAATACTGTGGCAGTTGGACTTCCCCTCTCTTCTCTTCCTTGTGGTTAGAGTTTAGACCATTTATTTTTGCATCTATGTGCAGTGGAGGTCATGCACTGGAAAACATGGCACTGTCTGAAGAAAAAAACCTGTCCTGAAGTCCTTTCAAAGTAGATTTGGGGAGGAAACAATAGGCAGAAGAGAAACAATGTCAGACAATTTTTTAGCAATTTATCTGATGAGCAAAGATCAAGTACTGCCTCTTCTCCATTGTTAAGTGCTGCTATGATAGTTGTTGCCTCAGGGAAGTTGTGGCCAAGTGGGTAAGTCAGCAGGTGAAGTAAAAAGAGAAGGAATCAATACTCGGTCTTTAAAACTTGCTTCCCTGGGATTCTTTCAAAGAAGTTTGGCATGCATAAGTCTATCATTTCTTGTACTGAAGAAATGCTATGTCATTGCAAATGAGAAGTTCTGCCAATGTTATGGAAATGAGATAGATTTTATCCTGTGCTTTCATTGCCTCCAAGTGTAACTAGGCATGTCAGGCTGCCATGTGCTGCAAGTAGTAATGAGCTGGAATCAACAATATTTGACAATATGCTTTAGTCAGGAAATGTGCTATAAGAAGATCATAGATGACAGCTGATGCTGTTGCCCCATGCCTCCTCAGCTCAGGACTTCTGCTGCACTGAGCAAAACCCCCTTCCCATCCCATAGACTCAGCTGAGGGAAGTTCCTGGGACAACTTTACAAGAGTGGAATTTCTTTTCCTTTTTGCTTTTGCACCAATCAAAACTCTTATGCATAGATTCTAAGAGACACTTTATTCAAATGATACTCCATCATGGCTGAACTGCTGAGCTCCAGATTCCAGGAGAGAGCAGCAGCCAAATCCCACTTGGATGCCTATTTCCTCGAGTGGCAAGTGCCTAGCCTAAGATAGCAAGTCATGGTTAGAGGTATTAGCACCAGCTAAGGTGATTACACAGCTTCAGTTTGAGTTGGATGCCCATGCAAGGTGAGCTCATGTCTGATTGCAAAACAGGCTAGATAAACATTTAGATATCCATTCTATCAGTGTCTAATGGCATATGGGAATTATAGGCACAGAAGGAGGTTACAAGGCTTGTTAAAAGGGGATCAGTCTTGGAATACCTCTAATTATCTGCTTGCCTTTATGGCATTCCCACATCACTCGGGAGAGCTCCATGTTACAAGCAGATAACATACAGCTGAGTGGCATTAAAAAGAAGTCAATTGAAGTCTGGATAAACTTGGTGTGCTAACACATGAGAATAACAGTAATGGCAAATGCTTTAGCAAAACAATGCAAAGCCGTGCACCTGCTGACTGTGGAGGATAAGGTCTGATATAATATGGGCCATAATCAGCAAAAATGGTAAAAGGGGAACAATTTTTAGGGTAGCCCCCAAAAGGTGACTGCATTGTATAGGGAGATTGCATGCTCTGGAGAGAAGCTGTTGAAATGCAGAGCACCAGAGACTGCTGAAAATGTAACGAACTTGTGAAAAGTCCTTCCCAGTGCAAAACATATCCTGCTGAGCCTGGAAAGTAGCAACCTTTAGCCCCCTCTCTGCCTGCTGGGCAAGGGGGCACCCAGCGTTATCCTCCCCAATATAGTGAGGACGTGAGGCTCCCACCCCTGCAAGTGCAGACAAAAGAGAAACTCAGGCTCTTGTGGGGCAGACTGAGAGACTCTGCTCAGCTACATCGCATGGTTTATGTGCCAATGGCGGAAGTGGAATCCCACTGGACACTGGAAAGGACACAAAAGAGGCACGCTGTGGCTGCACACTCATTTTATTGCAAGGTGAGAAAGGGTGGACTGGCGAAAGACATACAAGGACAAAGTAGTCTGCTGGTCAGGCTGGTTTTCAATCAAGGCCATGCTTCAAGTTCCTCCCATGAGGTGGTCCTTCAAAGAGAAGATCTTCTTGCTTTC